ATAGCACCGGGATCAGGCATCTCTCTATGCTGAGCTCTGAAGCACGATGTAGGTTTCTTTAAAGACACAAATGTAACGTAAGTCTTTATCACTTTTAGATTTTTGGGTAAAAGGAGTCGGAGTTGGAGTCGCTAAAAACATGTCGACTCCGACTCCAGTTTTTGTTGGACAGTTTGAATAAATAGCTTGAATAAATAGTAAAAAACGTAAATCCTTCTCTATTTGTCCAGTCAGCAATCCTGTTCAAGGAAAGTGGCAATTTTCTTTCCGTGCAACACATATCCACGCCTTGTCTGGCTCGGATATGTGTTGCACGGAAAGAAAATGTATGTCTGGAGTACATTACATACAGTAAAAGGTATGCAGTAAAAGGTATGTCTGGAGAACAAACCACTTACTGTTGATGGGAATTTATTTAAAATGTAATTAATTCTGAAGCTAAAATTATAAAAATTCATCACACATTCTTGTCTTCTTGAATGAAATTATCAGACATCAGAGTACTTAATACATCAGAGTACTTGACAGTTTTGCCTCTCAAACGTTTCTGTATGAAAATAAATAGGTTGTCGAGCAGAGGACTATTGTATAAGTCTCGGAGTATGCCGTACCACCAAACCTTTTCATAAGCCTTTTCCACATCAAATAAAATGAAAACTTTGTGTTTATTTTTCACATAAGCATTCCGAATAGCTGTCTCCAAAACAGAGATGTTATCAGCAGTTGATCACCTTCTTTCAAATCCACTTTCATAGGGAGGCCATTTTGCTCTGGATTAATATATAAAACGGCGCCTCTGAATTAATATATATTAGAGATTTTTCTAGAACTATGCACTGACAGATGATAAGAACGACTGGACGATAATTAGTGGGGTTCTTCAGGTTCTTACCTTACTTTAATTTAAGGATAACGAAAATTTTCGCCAAGCTGTTGGGAAAATATGCTTCTTCTGTACTGCGTTATAAAGGATAAGAAGAAATGCCGAGTACGTAATTAGCAAATGCTTAATCATTAGAATATCAATGTCATCAGGACACGGACTAGTCTTACGTGTTTGTGACAGAACGTTTTTTAACTCAAGCATGGTGAAATCCATATTATACGTTTCAGAGTTAAAAGTACCAAAGGAATAGGGTTCTTTTCAGCTTTAAGTTTATCGCAAACGAACGCCTGGGAGTACCTTATGACGCTAGGCACAACAACAAAAGCCTCTCCAATATTATTGCCAGTTTCTTATGCTGCTATCTATTGTACCATCTTTTCCCAGGACAGAAAGTGAGTAGCCATTATATATCCCTGTTGCTTTCCTGACTGTCTTCCATACCTATTTGCTTGTTATAGATGGTGTTAATGCGGAGACTTAAGATACGTAATATACTCATGAATTTTTCTGGCTGCGCCAGCACATTCTCCTTACCTCTACTTTGCCTTTTCTGAAGGCCAAGCTATTAGTCATGGTCGAGTAACATCGAAATTTATTCCATGCTCTTTTCTGTTTCTATGAATATTCTTATATTTGCGGTTCCACTACTATTTTGGTTATTTAGGCTACCTGTTAGATGATTTAAGAATAGATGAAATAGAGCATCCTGCTGCCTGGTTTATAGAATACGTGATATAGGCAGGGCTGTGGAGTTGGAGTAGGAGTCATGGAGTCGGAATCGGAGTCGGGTAGATTTTTGGGTAAAAGGAGTCGGAGTTGGAGTCGCTAAAAAACATGTTGACTCCGACTCCAGCTTTCGTTGGACAGTTTGAATTTGAAATGAAATTAAAGTGAATTGAAAAACATTAATGACAAACTGAGTTAATATTTTTATGTATGGACTATATACATTAATAAATAGTTATTTTCTATTTTATTGACATATTAGTAAATAAATATAAGGGAGCAGGATGGATGTGATATTTGTCATTATTGATTAAACTGATTCATTTAGTTACTAATCTCATTGGTGAATTGAGGTAAGCAGCGAGAACTCCCAAAATTGGTGCTATTCTTAGGAAGCGAGCAGAAAAAGGAGAAACGCAATGGAGAACTACATATCTGATGATATAGTGGTTGTTAGGATTAAGAACTTCTTCAGAAGATGTAAATAACCCTAATATTTCACTAACGGAAAGACAGTGGAATGATCTTGTAGAACTGAAAATCCTTCTTTCAACAGCGTATATAGCCACCAAAAAGCTACAATCTGAAGGATTAGCAAAAGGCAGGACTGGAAGAATGCAATGTTTGTTCTTTCTGATATGGAGGGTTTATTGCAGAAGGAATCATTTCTTCAATGAAGAAAAGAGAAACTAGATTGCTAGACAATAAGATTGCGCTGGCTTCAATATATGTAGATCATAAACGCCGAATTTTGTTGAATGACAAACAAATTAAAAAGACAAGAAAGCCATCTATGAACTTTCATTAAGAATGAAATTATTCTCAGAACAACTGGAGTATTCAAATCAGGACAGTCAAACTGCAGATATTGCAACTGAGTCTCTATTGTCTTCTTCCACTGACGAATTATATTTTGAGAAATATTTGGATAATATTGAAAAGGCTAAGGCAAAGAGAATGAAAACAAAGAACCAAGAGCCTTTAGATATAAAAATTAAAAAAATACAAACAAGATTTATACACGGCCTTTGAAAAAATAGATAAATATGATTGCTCTTGCAAAACACCTCTTTTAGAATTTACAAAATTCTATCCTGAAATGTTAAAGGAAGTAGCCCTAGCAGGAACAGCTCTTCTTCCTACTCAAGTCAGTGTGGAAAAACTCTTCTCAATTCTGCAGTTTATTAAATCGGATCTATGGTCCTCTAACAAAGAAGATCTTGCCGAAGTTTTACTGCTTCTTAGAAATTACCAATGCCAGTTTCTCCATTTCATAATAAATGCTAATTAATATAAAAAATTTGCTATGCATCAATTTTTATCTGTAGCATCTACTACTTCTTTTATATTAAAAAATAAGCTGTACCCATGTTTATTTTTTACACATGTATGAAGGAGTCGGAGTCGAAGTCGGAGTCAGAGTCGGAGTCATTAAAATTCCAGGAGTCAGAGTCGGAGTCGGTCATTTTCCCTACTGACTCCACAGCCCTGGATATAGGTGACTGCTTCGTCAATGAGATTGTTGTTTATATATATATATATATGATGTTGTATTTTTTGCAGAAGATGAAACCAATTCTCGCTATGGTCATGGCTGAGAAGATTGTTGCTTAGAAAACAACTGGTGCAAAGATCATAGCTGGCTTGATGGTTAAAACATCCTTTTTAATTTGCACAGGAACATTTATTCGTAAATACATTGTTACTTAAAACTGATACAATACTATAGTTGCTAACACTGCCTAAAAGGTTTGTAAATCAAAATTATATTTTAAATTAGCCACAGACCCTTAATTTCTCTTTTTAATTTCAGTAATTTCCCTCTTTATTCTAAAAGCAATAATATCTATTCTGGACTGCATCATTTCTGTAAGATAATTATATTATAGATCAATCCATGCATATGAATTAATAACGCTGATGACATATCTAATTCGAAACTTAAACCGAAACATTTTAATAAACTGCGCACTTCTGCTTCTCTCTGTTCTCTCTAATACGCTGCCTCGTTACTCTCTTCTTATCACAACAGTATAAAAAATGTTAATATTCTTGAATAGGCACGATTAAAGTGCCGAGTAAATTGCTTTCGGCTGCTATGCAAAATTAAACTCTGGGAATACATAATCCGTAGACTCAATCATGCCTTGAAAACTGATGGAAAAGAAGAAAAAAGGAATCTAGGTGTAGCGCTCTTAGCAAGAGCAAAATAGTATATGGCCTTTAATTTAGCTTCCACCTCCTTGCACCTATCTGGTTTGTAGTAATTGTCATTCGCCAAAGCATAAAACTTCATTTTATCTTTCAAACATGATAAATCTGTTCTCGATTACAAACTGAGTGACTTAAATTAATACAATACTAAATGATTAAAATCCTTATTCCCCTTTTTTTAATAATAAATCGGACTGATATGAATTGAAATGCATTTCATTTTTAATATATTCACCTGAGTTTTATGGATATTTACAGATTTATTACAGTAAATAAATGTGAATCTGTAGCCGTATATTATACAAGTAGTATAGTAATTTTTAGAATTTTTTTGATAATTTGCATTTTAAATTATCTTTTATATATTCGAGCATTTTTTTCAATTTTGTACGATTTTGTTGAAGTTTTATATTGCAATTTATACATGTTTTCTTACTGAGCTAACGGTAAAAGTTTCAGTTTAATATGATAGTTAAAGAGTGAATGAATAATGTGAGTAGTATCTATTACAGGTACACACAGTTACTTCATTTCCTTTTATACTCAGTTAACTTAAATACTTCTATAATTAATGATTTGAATTAAAGATGAAAACAGTGTTGGAAAAATTCTCTCAAATGATTACTTTGTAACGCCGTTAGAATGCGCTTTTCTTCTATATACTGAGAATAATAGTTTAGTTTGTAATGTGGATTTGAATAAGGAAGTATTACCGGTGTCCTACAGGCCTTTTGAAAAAAAATTATTTCCTGTTTTTGAAACTAAGTAGTTTTTGTTTACTCAATATAGACATAAATAGGAAGAACAGGCCAAAGTAAAATCTTAATAAGTAAAGCCCACAGAAATATATTTCTAGACTTTAGCTCGTTAAGTAAATTATTTTTATCAATTTATTTTGTTCAGTATCAACAAAATATTTTTAACCCTTTGTATTTTACTACACTTCTTATTTAGGTAAAACATTAATACAATAAATAGATTTCCTGATTAAGTTTTAATTTTCAAAGGTGTTACCTTTGGATCTGGAAAGTTTTCTTATCAGATACATTTACAAATCCGCTCTCTCCCTTCCTTCGAATAAGAACCCGAAATTTTCTGATGCTTTGCAGATCTAACCCAAAAATCATTTCTCGAACTATATGAAAGAAATTCTTAAGATTGCTTTTGTATTTCTTTAGGTACAGCTGTGGCCATGAAGGTACAAATGGAGATCGGTTACATGGGAGATATAGATACTAAGAAAATGGTAAGCATTCAATTGATATTATACTAGTAATTATATAGTTTCTTAATATATACGATTCTGATAATTGATTTTTTTTTCTTCCAGTAGTTTTGTTTGTTAGCTAGGGTCAATAAAAATACTTCATTTTGAAAACAAAAATTTACTTGAGTAAAGTAATTTTCAAATTAATTTTATAAATTTAAAAAACATATTCAGCATTAGAAAAGATTAACGACAGATTGCCATAAACCTATATGGGACTTGCCTATTTTTAAAGAATTATCTTGATTGTCCTATGAGTGTTCTGAATATCTAACTTTATCGGTGAAATGTACCGCTGCGATTAAAGACAGTTTTTTCCATTTACATTTTTGCCCTAAAACTACCAGGACCTACCCGAATAATTCGCACAACAGTTCTTTAGTCTTTATATTGCAGTCATTTTAGTCTACCTCATTTGAAGTGAACCCTCTCTAAGAAGACCAATCACTGTCTCATTCCAATTTATTCCTTCTATAGAGATGGTGTCAGAAAACTGTTCGGTATTGAGGTAGTTCTTAAAAGGTGCTTGGCACTTTTCCACAGCTAGGTTTCCACAGTTCTAGATGTGCGATTGCTATGAGAGGATTCATCGCTTTACGCTGTTACTGTTAAACTCCCTTTTTATCAACGTAGAATGGAATTTTACAATTCACATACTCATTAATCAGGTAAAGTACAAAAATATTTTATCACATAGTTTAATGGGAAGAAGAGATTAAATCATTGTGTTTATAGAATCCATCTACAGTTTTTTTATCACAAATAATAAAAACGGGGGCAGCTAAATAACGAAATCCATTAGTTTAGTTGCATTATCAAAATTATAAGACATTATTTTTATAAATTTACCAGTCTCCGAAAGCTTTTATTTTTCGTGATATAAAACTGCATATGAAATTTGTAAAGAAAATTATTTAATCTCTTGTTCCCATTAAGCTGTATGATAAATTATTTTTCTTCTTTTAGGTCATTAATAATTTTATAAGTTTTAAATAAAAGTTTATTTCATGAAACCTTTTTAGACCAAAGAGGTGGTAACCCAGAAGAGCTATCAGTCTCAAAACTGCATTTTGTGGCGTTTCACTATAAATGGTGAATCACTTTTTAAATTGTTGCCACAAAATATTATCGTCCCGCAATTATGTGTAAAGAAATTAAATAATGAAGAATCTGCATGAATATATGTATCATTCTCACATTGTGAAAAAACGACGGTACCTAGAGCCATCGAGCCATCAATATATAAGGTAAACCTTGAATAAGGTTATCCGTCATTCGAATATGGGCACCTGGACGCCCGAATTTCGAATTTGTTTTATTATCTACTCTATATTTTGTAAAATGTTAACGAATTTTTAATTCAGACTCAGTGATTTCAAAGCGAGTAATGGCGATACTGTACGAAAAAAAAAAATGTTTTATCTCCAGACTGTCTATCGGAAATTCTAAAGATAGGCTGTTTTTAAATACTTTAGAGGAAAGGAATATTAGGCCAAATGCTCTCGAAACGTGTGTGTGTGTATATAAAGGAAAAAATCGCTTCTTTTTTAAAATATATATTTCGCACAATGCTTCACTTTTTCATGCAGAAGTTAAATTATATGCTAGAGATTACCTTTAGTTATGTGCTGTTTTTTCTCTGCCTATTCCTATATTTAAGTTTCAGTCTTTAAGTATTAAACTTTATGATGCTTGTATGCAATTAATATGCGATAGTAACTAAATAAAATATTATTCTAAGCACACCATTTTTGTAAATTCTGTAGCATAGATACTGAGAATAAGCGTATTCTTTGCCTCAGAAATAATATGCAATAATAACCCAATAAACCGAAATACTCAATTTTTAATTTTGATCTAAAATCCTTTTATCCTTTATATAAAATAATTTTTGGCCAAAATTTTCTTAAAGTCTCAAGTAACAGTTACTGAACAAATTGCAATTCATGAAGACGCATAGAGTAAAATGCACTAATTGTTAACTTTGTAGATAACTGTGTGAAGTTGTTAACTGCTAAAATCACCAAAGTTTTTCAATTAGTTTTAGGAAGCATTTTACATTGAACTTGGCATTAATTTGCCTTAATTGGGCGTTTTGATCTATGAAAATCATTTAAAATGTTAAATTTTGTACTTTCCGAAACTTTGTTAGTGCTAAAATTACTCTGACACATATATTTCTTAGTGCTAAAATTACTCTGACACATATATTTCTACCTTAGTTAGAGATATGTAAATGAAAGTACGCGTCTAGGATCAATAGTTAAAGCCACCTTTCAAGGACACCTGTTTATTAAATGCCGAAACCCAAGGACTGCTACAGTACCATAAGATAAATATCCGAAGAAAGTAGTACCATCGGACGACAGTACCTTGTTTAATGCTTAAAATATATATGATAATTGTATTACATAATATTTAAAAGCATGTACATATCCTATTATTCAGTGATAACGGTAAAAACTAATTTTCTCCTTCAGATAAAGTAGGAGATGATGTTCAGATAAATAAAGTTCTCAATCATTTTTAATAAATAACAAAAACTTTTACTTTCTGTTGCTGAAAGTAGCTAACAACAAACTCTAATAATGCAATACACAAAAAATCCTAGCTATTTAAAAAAATTTCTGCTAACGGCTGCAAATACTAATGGCTAAAGAAGCACTCATTAGTTTTTTGCCTGCCTTTATTTAATAACGAATATTTTTAATAATGATTTATTAGTGTAAATGTACATCAAGTAATTACAGAAAAAACGGAAAAAATATCTTTCATTTTTTTTCTTTTAGCCAGCATATTTAATTCGTAAAATTAAACATCAACACGCAGCTGGTGGTAAGTGACTAATAGTGGAAATTACGGGAAATTACCTTGATCTAAAGATCACGTAAAATAAAAATACATTATTAAGAATGTGTTTTGTACTACTTATTACGGATCTTTCAAATCTGTGAAAACTTTTACTTCATTATAAGACTGTCAACAAAATAATGTTTTTTATTATATTTGTTATGGGTGTTATTTTTTTAAGAATTTGAGAAACTCAAACTACATGTTTGCTGAATGGCTTTCGCACCAAACTCTGTATTCAGAACTATGGCGAGTATGAATCATCCAGATAATTTCATGTATGAGGGCAAATATTGATCTTTATATCTATCTACTTAGAATATTGTTTGTTCGAAAGGCCGCAATTCATTTAAAAATCCAGAAGAATCCTAAATATTTGGATTAGTTGGGATTGTAACTCATTTGGATCATCGGAAAATTTACGTAATTAGATTTTCTTTGTTCTACTGGCCAAATATTTATTTACTCTAGTACAAGAAAGAGAATTTTATGTTTTCCTTCATCTTGATTTTATCGCAATAACGATTAGGTGATTAAAAAGAATAAAAAGTTTTATTATCGATAAAAACATAAAAACAAAAGCACACTTGTTTCAATAAAACGGAGATGTTGTTTAAATTTATTTTGCTGTCCAAAGCATCTTATGGCTACGAACAAATAGCCCTTTCCAAAAAACAAGGAATAAAATGACAGAATAGTGACATATACCAAAAGCTAACAATAAATAATTGACTTAAGTTGCACAACTTATATGAAGTTATAAATTCCTTATGTGACAAGAGAATTGAGATAAATGTCATGATGATGTTTATCTTGTTTTTAAAAAGGAAACACCTGATAGGGCAAAGGAATAATTCGTAAACTAAAATTTGTAATTCTATGTAGCTTCAGTAAAAATATTATGCTTACAGTAAATGAACAATTTTATCATCTATCTAGAGCATAAAAAGTATATATAAAGACCTGAAATATTTATCTTATGCCACAAATACAGTTATTATCCTTTTCTTTTATATAAATTTCTATAAATATTGTTAAAATGTTTTACGTTATTTGCTTGTAAATTTCAACTAGTTAAAAAATAAATTAAACATAAATTTATCCTTTATCATAGTAGCCGCATTTCAAAGATCCATTAAGCCCATATAGTTACTAGTTACTATACTGGACAATACAGCAACTTACAACACGTAATTGCTTTCTATTAAGGTAAACGTACAATTTGTCAAGCGATATATGGTTTATATTACATATATATATACGTAGTTCATGGGCTGGAATAATGAATTACATCAAGTTACAAAATTACATGTAGAAGGCCCAAAAAGACTTCACAGGCAACTAAACATTAGTCCATTTGTATGGGTGTTCACTCTCACTTACGCGAACGCTGTTCATTAATAAAAACTATCTCGATAATTAGAAACGATGACCACGACCTCCGATAATATCCTGTTTCTGCAGCAAATTGAATTTCAGTTAAGAACCCCAATATTTAATTCGCTTTAGCATAATTAAAGTGTGAAAAACCTTCTTGTTTCAGACCAGAAGCCAGCTAAGCGAAAATAGGGTAGTATGCAACTTTAACTCTTAATTAAAATTTAAAAATTATTGACCTAAAATAACAAAGATACAAACCATAATCAACGTTACTCGAGGAAAACAAAGTAAAATTTTAAAGCTTTTTCAGTTCTATACGAAAATGAAAAAATGTCAAAGGGTCAAATCATCCTTTCATCAAAATCCAAAAAATTAAATGCTAATATCAATTTCAAAGTTATCACTCTTATCTCAATTTGCCAACAGAGAGCAAAAATACTAGATTATGCGTAAGCCAAGAAAGAATCTATGCATTGTCAAGATGAAACACTTCGGAATTTAATTTCACTTAATAACTTCAGAATTTCATCTCGTTAACTTGCATAAATGCGAAATCTTGGATACTCAGTTACTAGAAGTTTTCATCTTTTGGAAGTGTTGAAATGGACTGTAGAAATGATAGCATGTATAAAACAATAATAAAAAATATGATGGAATAAAATATGTATTGTAAATAATTTTGAAATTTCCTTTTTCTCTACTTTATGATAATAATAGATGGGATACGGAAGCACTTAAAACAAAATATTATTAGCAAAAAGAATTTTGTTTTCTTAAATATGATTTCATTTTACAGTGCCCGCTTACAAAACATAGTTCGTTCCACGACAGCTTCATCATGGAGGGCGTCTTTTCCTATAGATCGTTCCTAATTCTGATCTGACATCGTTTAACATCGTAAAAAATGTTAAAACCATCACTAATTTTTGAAAAGTCATAAAATTATTTGCATATACCGTTTATGTGGATTATCTCAAAGCTTTGTAGCTCATTTTAATCTGAGCTTTGTGTCTTCAACTGGAGGTATAAGCCCTTTTGTGTTTTACTGAAATTCAGGATTCAAAACGTTCTCTAAAACAGAATGATTCTGAAATAGTGCATAGCATTGTCACTGGACAATTACGTTCCTGAGTTTGATTAAAATAGCACCGCTTAACTGTAGCCGGAAACTCTTCCAACTTTTTCACAATGTCCTTGATGATTACGCCGTTGTCATCTGTTAGTTCACTATGAACACAAAAAGAGCACGGACTCCTCAAAATTGTGTTAAAGATCCTTTCAGTGATTTAAAGCCATTGCTTCTGGACAATCCGGTGGCTTTCACAATGTCGAACTTGTCCATTTTCTGTCTGTTATGTTAGGTAAAATTAGTAGACATCCAAGCACTTTTCTGAAAAGAACTTTCTCGTACAGTTGCTTGACGCTAGTAATTACCTATTGATCCATCCGTGAAGTTAGAAAAGTTGTATTGAGAGACAGATCTTGCATATTCAAAAAATCATGCGTAATTTCTAAATACTTCTCCGGATCAGGTAGTCAGGAGCATTATCAAGTGACAGCATTATTTCCTGTAGTAAATCATCCTTTAATAGATATTTGTTTTACACAGGACGCAAAGGTTTTTTACTATATGCTCTTAATATATTGAATGGCTAATCCAAAACTTTGGACATTGATTTAATGGCATACTCTTTCTTAAAACGCTGGTATTCGTTAAGCGATAAATTGATAAGAGTTTCAGATTCAGTCTTTCTTGATTTAGTTGCAAAAAGGAGTGTAAGTCTTTCTGGGTTAGTTCTAAAACAATCTCTCCCCCCTTTTTTTGTGTGTGGGGGGTGGAGGGGGTCCTACTGGGGAATCTTTTCTCAAAACAGAGCTAGTTTCGCCACGTGTGTGATTGATAATGCGGGATATATTTCGGCGGTACACAACGTTTTTTAAGCGGGATATTCTTTATGCGAGGCAACATTGCATTACATTCTTACTTCAAAAGTTTTTTTTTACAGTTATTTCATTTTACGATGATTTAAATTGATATGTAAATTCGTAAGGTGAAAATCTCTTACGTTGACAGAAATAAGTGTACGCATAAAACATTACGGCGAGAGAAAGAATTTCAAACAGCTATAATTAATTCACTGAAACTGGAAACTAGCACATGCTGTCACTTTTTTATTGTGTATAAGCCAATAAATACCATCGCTGTTAATAGATGTTATTTAATTGATGAAGGCATTGGACTAATCACCCTTGAAATTCATTAAATTTAATTAGAACAGAAAACTTTTTTTTTTTTTTTTTTTTCAAATATAAAGATTTAAGTTAAGCAAAAAGCACAGATCGTCTTTCTGTCTTTCAAAGGTCATCGTTCGCTTTAGATTGTTGAGAAACAAAAATTCCAGATTTAATTAGAAACAGAAATTCCAGATTAATTTAAATCTGAAAAGGTTGCTGCTCTTTAAATCACGTTTAGTAAATTTTAATTATCCACTGTGCTGCAGCCTACAACAGTTTCCTCATTAAAGGTACTATTTATCTCCATGTGCCAAAAAAGGTCTTAGTCTTCCTTGTGACCTCCCAAATAGTCATTTTTCATAGTACAGCCATTTGGCAAAGCAGAGGTACTTTAATTTATTTTTTAAATTCAGCCAGACCATAACTGTTTAATAAGTGGAATGACTTAAAACCAAAAATTACATTTCTTATCAGTTTAAATCTTTATTTATTTTCTTTAATAATATACCTAACTGAAATAATTTAAAGTCAATGTAATTGTAATACATCTAAAGAGTGATATTTATGAAAATGTACAGCATTATTGTAACTAAAAATATCCTAATTATAAGCGCTTTTGTGACAGCGCGATCAAGAAGAAAACGATTTAAGTTGCCATGGAAATCGCAAGCAATTTTTACTTAGAACTAAAAGAAGTATTGTAATCACTAAAAATTTTGGGTATCATATTTCAAAGAAAATACCCATTTTGACCGCTATCAAATGCAATTTAACGATGTTTTTACGTGACATCTGTACGTAAGAACAGAATAAAGGACTCTTTTTCCCCAAATGAATTATAAAACTGATTTAAAATGGATTCAGAAGAGATTTTTTTCGAGGCGTCTTGTATGTACATACGTATGTATGTATGTATCTCGCATAACTCAAAACGAGTAGTCTCACAGCGTTGAAATTTGGTATACGAGCCTGATATAGCACGCAGTTGTGCACTTCTCTTTTTTGTTGCAATCGGCCCCCACCAAACATATACAAATATTATACTCACTGTAATGAGTATATATAATTAAATATACATATATATATATATATATATATATATATACCCACTCTTTTAACCGATTCAGTAAGTCCAGTTTCTTTATACTTATATGTTGTTAAATTGTGCATTTTTTACTTTAAGTGATTGAATTATTTTTTACCTCATTTAAAAGTGATTGAATTATTTTTTTTATGTTCTGGTTAGAATTTTTATGCCTTTGTTTAATCTGCATGCAGTAGTTGTAGAATTATCAACAATTTAAAAGTTTCAGTGGTACTAAGCCTAACGAGAACGCCGTTTGTTTCCAATTAAAATTCTTAGTAGAATAAAGAATTGAGTCAGTTGGTGCACCAGTTTCAGTGCTTTTTGCCCAGTGTGACCAAAAGTTAATTTTCGGTTTCGTGCACGGAAACCTGTCTTCCTACCCCCCCCCTTGGTTGAACTACTTGTTTTTGCGTACAAACTGTAATTTTAAATGTAAAAAATGTTTTTAACTGCATTTGGTGTTTTAGGCTTTTTAGATGTTTTATAATTTTTGATAAAGATTCAGTTTTTACATATTTTTGACTTGGCACTAAGTGAGAACTGAATTGATTGAATTAGAAATTTATCTCTGATGGATATTCGAGGAAATAAGTTTAAATGAAGTGCAATAAAAATGCATAATTAATAGACCGTACAATGAGGTCATGTAGTAATATCAGGTATTTTATATATAGTATTCCTTTACTTGTTTTTGAACTAGAACAATTCTAATCAGTACTAACTAGTGTCAGTCCGCCATTTTTTAGCCCCGCGCACTTAATGCAACTTAATTCTCTTTTACGCACAATAAAAATGTTTCAACATCTATGTCTCTAGCAATGCGTCATTCTATAGGCATGTAGTTTTTTTCTTATCATTGTCTATTATATGGTACATTTAATCAAATATTGCATCATTCATATTAGTACGATGTATAGTTTGTAATATGATATACAATCTTTTCTTAATTTTATATTTAATTGCACTAAAAACAGTGTGCACCTGCACATGAGCGTATGAATGAAAATGTGCATTATGGTAAACTTCCTTATTATGTATATAACTGCATTGATTTCTGAATTTGCAGCATGTGATAGAAATAGTTAGTACGCATATATAGTGTGAACTTTTACTAGAATCATATCAATCCTATCTGCGTTATGTATATAATCTTCCCTTAATTTTATACTTAACTGCATTTATATCTAGTTTCATATCATTATTTACAAATAGTATATTTACTCTAGTGATGTTTGGTCCGAAATGGATCTCCTTCCGTAAAAGGTCGAGTAGATGATAATCTCGCGTGATGAATACCCTAGTGGGAGTCTGTTTAGCTGGGAATCCATACCAAATTGGATCACAGTTTTGGTCCATATACCAGTCTGTTCCATACCAGTTTGGGTATGGAATTCCTTTAAGTTAAGATTCTAATGAATCAATCGTTGTGATATATTTTATAGAATTTATAACTCTTTACACAGACGTTCGAAATTCATGCGACGTTCAGACAGTGGTGGATGGACGAAAGACTCACCTTCAACGCATCTATGGGCTCCAAGGTTGTAGGTCTGAAAAGTCTCAGGGATCTTATCTGGACGCCGACTCTCTTCTTCATCAACGAGAAAGACAGCAAACTCGTCGTGAGCACAAGAGACAATGTTTATGTCCAGATTGACCCGGATGGGAATGTCTATTATGCACTCAGGTATGATTCGGCAAATCTGCTGTTTATGTTACATAGCTGGATTCCTTAAGCGGACAGGCCTAAATAAATTGTTAAATACAGAGGACCTGATTGTGTGCGTCTATTAATTGGCATAGACATGAAGCACCAGCAATGTTAATATGATTTTTTTCGCAGGCATATTCTAATTTTACTCTTGAATATTCCTAGGAAGGGAATCCAGTTGTGTATGACCCTTCTTTTACTATTATTACACCCTCTTATTAGGCAATTAAAATTTATGACAATTTCTTGGGATTAATAATTGGTTAAGTAACTAAAGCTATTGATCAACGAAGGTTCTCGAGTGAAAATAACGCACTTCGGATCGCTCTACACTTGCTTTAAATGTCTAAAAAGTTACGGATTCATAAAACTAACTACTGAATAGGTAACAAATGTAGAGTTTGATTAAATGTTTTAAACTGTCAAAAGTAAGACACGAAACGAAGCAATGACTGATCAGTTTCGCAGCAGTTTCTTATAAGTTACCAATTAAATGCAATTCAATTTTAATTTTTGCGAAAGATAAACATTTCAGCTTTTCATACTTTATAATTCAGCAGCTTAGGAAAAGAAACATAATCGCCGTGAACCTTAAAATGAATTTATCTGTTTGGGGAGGGTGTGGACCAGCAGCTGTTGAAATTTCATGTTGTTACTTAGTAATAATAAATGATTTCCAGAATACAATAATATGTATTCTTTCTTCAGGACATGGTTTCAGAAATAAACTTCCAAAGCAGATACTTTTAGCTATGTTATTATAGTTGTCCACTTGACTTCTTCATACTATGAATGAAACACTTTCGAGACTAATATGCTTGTCCTTCCACGAAATGAAGTAATTAGATGACAAAAAATCTGTAGCCACAATATTTCTAAATTAACTTGTGCTTTAAAATTCTGACTTGCTCACAGGCTTTTATCTACGTCGTGTCTTCCGATGAAAATGCACGAACTCCGAATAGATATTTCAACTTCATTAATGTTAAAAAGAGAAAATAACCTGAGAATGTAGGTCACTAACCTTTCTAAAACTTTTGAAAATTTTGTATTTTTCATCGAATTTGTTTGTTGTTTCAAGACTAAATTTCCTAATAGTTAACAAGATCAGATTTCCATGAAATGATTAAACAGCTATCAGGCAGATCACAGACAGTGGCATCTGAAGTCAGTTTTCTACATAGACTGTTTTTTAAGCTGTCGAAACATAACAACCTGTTTATTTTTAAAGTAATTCCTTTCTGTAAAATAATTATTTTTTTAAAGATTTATGAACGTTGGTAAACCACTAGTGGCTGAATGGTAAGATCACTGAACACTGCTACTTCGACTCAGAATCTGATGCTAGTATTTGTGGTTTTTCCTATACATAATATGAATAAAAGTTCTCCTCAAATGTCTTTCTCAAAAGTATAGCTTCCGTTAGATGGCTCATATTCGTGGTAAAAATATTTATTATTTAAGATTTATCTCTTTTTTTCAATTCTTGAGAAGGAAATTTTACTGTTTTCTCTAGAACTTTGTTAGCAATATTCCAAGCTTGCATATTTAGTTTAATTTTGTAATTTCAGTAAGCTTTTTATCTCATTGTTTCCCTTAATTCCAAGAAAATTATTAAGAAATTGTTAATTGTTAGCTGAATTGAGAATTAAGTACTTTATTCTCAAAACTGAAGCGCTTATCAATGGCGTATGCATTATGTTTTCACGATAAACTTTGTTATTGGCTTGATACTGACTTTGATTTACGTTTATGAAGTACATAAACCGAACTTGCTCGAGAAACACCATGCCACCGGCTTCACTGTTTCTAAACCGATTCCCATTAATCTGAATTGCAATTCTTACTGCTGTTTTCAGTGTAAGAAATTCCGTAAAAGTTAAGAATGATCTATCTTCACCATAACTAGCTTCCCAAAGTCCATAAACTGAGTCTGAACGCTGAATGGTTTCCTGGAATTTATTTTAGTGACTTAACCTACAAAATCCACTAAAAGGGCAAAAAGAGATTAAATAAGAATGTTTGAAAATGAAATATGCCACTTATTATCAATTTCTTGTCCCCTTCGTATTAAGTTTGCATTGTGTATTTTTCGTTATAACATTCGCCTTTGAACAAAAAGTGTAGTTGGCGTTTTACAGTTATTGCTAGATGGATGGATTAATTGAATTGCCGCCTTAGTTTAATTTTCTCACAAGAGTTAAATGTAAAGTGATGAACTAAGACATAGCTTTCCTTTTCCTGTATTGCTCTTGAATTGTTTAGTATAAAGTAAATAAGTAAATAAATTCTGAGTTAAAAGTTTAGAATTTGTTATGGAAGACTTCAGAAAACCGTTCCTGGTAATTCTATAAAAAATTTATATTACAGCCTAAAAGAGCACGGATTTTCATCTATGCCGCTAATAATAAAGAATCCTCATGCGTGTATTAAATAAGAATTGTTTTAAGTAACTATAAGTATAAAATATAATATAAGGTTTTATGTTTTAACATTTTTATTAAAAAAAAACAACCTAAGCTACCAAAAAATGGAAGAGTTGATAATGTTCGATAATAGCCAAGATTCCTAGGAATTAATTACAATCAAAGACTTATTTCCCCCAAATTGCCGAGTGGATAAGCCGCTGAACACTGACAGTTCTAATATGATTCAAATACCTTTCAGTTTTCCTTAGACACATCTCTATGAAGGTATCCGTTCCTTTAGCAGTGAAGATATCATTCGAGTTCTTTTCTTTAACTAAATTAAATAAAACAACTTGGATAATTATTTATGACTTATTAACTTAAACACGAACCAGTTTGCCTTAGACAATCCTGCCTGAAGGCATTCCTTCCCTTTGGCAGATAGCGCTCCTATGTCTTCAAGCATTGAATTAAGCAATATAATAACAGGATTACGCTTTACAAATAAACAAGAAAAACACACTTTTGAGAAATTAAAAATTTAGCTTAAAAATGAAATTATCAGCAGAACTTGAAGGTAAGAAAATAAGAGAGGTTAATATGTCAAAAGTCATGAATCTATTCCGCTTTACAATTTATAAGTAGTGAAACATTAATCGCAAGTATTTACAAGATAAAATTCGAGGAATTAGTGCAATAATTTTTGTGTTCATTATATTACTACTTATATTATTTCAGTGTTGTTTTCTACAAATCAAAATGTATTTTTAACGTTGCGGCATGATTCTAAGTTGCATGATGTTGCATTTTAAGGTATGTCCTCATGACTACAGGGGGCGCACATTTATCTCTTTACGTAGGTTGAAAAAAATTATAGGTACGGCTCGGTGCGTCAATCTGTGTTTTGAACTATTTATTATACCTTCTAAAAGTAAATTCAGAAATTATTAATATTATTCATAATCCTTTTTTCCCCTTTTTCAGGTTACAATTGGTCTTATCGTGCCCTATGAATTTAAAGCACTACCCATTCGACAAACAGTCCTGCCGCATTCGTGTTAGTAGTTGTAAGTATGAACATGAATAGCGTTTCATAATTTCTATCAAAATTAGAGATATTTTATTTATTTTCTAATAGATGGCAGCATTTACGCGATTAGAAGTTTGACGTCATTTTGAAGCTCCAGACTTTTTATGAATGAAAGAAAATTGGAAAAAATTTATTTCTTTTTTTGCATTCATTTATTTGCAGGTGTTTTTTTTTTTTTTTTTTTTTTTTTCTCTCTCTTCCCCATATTACTTAAAGAAGAACAAATATGTGATTGCAATTTTAAGAAATGATTAAATTAGAACAAAATTAGGAAGTGATATTTTCACCTGTGATGCCATATGTTAATACTAAGATAGTTATGTGAAATAACTTAATAGAACACTAAGATTACAGTCCTTAGTTATTATTAGGAAGAATTTTAGATATCTCAACGTATAACTATTGCAGAATGAAATTTTTAAAAAACGTAAAAAGCAAAAACGTTTAATGATTAATAAAATCTGTCATCATTGCTAGTGAATGCATTTTCTCAATATTCCAGCGTTTTCGGTATTCATGATTTTCCGAAATAATAATTAATTTATTTTCTGGATATTCTGTATCTCCTTTCAGAAATTTTGAAGAATCTCGAGATTTAAAAAATATTTTGTTAAAACTAGCTGTTCTAGCAAAGAAAGAAAGAGGCAGTAAAAAATTCGACAAAATGGAACTGAAAATATTAGGTTGTTTTATATATATGTATGTATAAACATGTAAGATAAAATCCTAACTTTAAATTGTAATAACCGTTAAAGCATCCTTCCTAACTTGGTTATATCCTTTTTCTGTCCTAAAAAAGTTATATGCGTAGAATAAATCTTTCTGAACTCTGCCATTTTAAAACTAAATTCTGTCATATGATTGAGATATAGCAGTAAATACACGTGTACTTACATGATGTCTAAACTAAAATTGAAATCTTTTATCAAATGTTAATTATAAATTTGAAAACCAAACTTTTAGCCAACAAACCGAAATAAAGCTGAGCTGTAACTTTGCTATTCTTAATACGGCATGCATCAATCAATATCCTAATCTTCAAAATATTTCCACGCTGGTATCTACTCTTAACTATGACTCCACTGCCTTTTATTAACCAGTTCTGTCGAAATCTGAAACTTGTATTGCTTTACTGTATTTTATTTTAATAATAATGGCTGAAATAAAAAGTACGCGTCAAATAGCCCATGACAGTGTCTAATTGAAAAACGTTTTTTAACATTAGCACTATCAGCATCTCTATCTCTAACAAGTTCAAAATTCAAATCAGTGCACACGCACACACACATATACATATACATATGTAATAATAAATTGATACAAAGAGAGAAGAAGACCCATTCACTACTTTTCATGGCTGGAATAATGGGGACGGTGATAGCAGATAGCTTGACTTTCTGTCGTAGTATGTAGCTAGAACTCTTTTGAAGAATTACAAATTTTACTTGATAATCTGATCTCTCTTTATTACTACTTGTCGATTCTTAACTACATATTTTATTCCATAACAAATCTCATTACATTTAAGCAATCTATTCTCCACAATTTTAAACTTTGCAGTTGCATTAAGTAATGGAGAAATAGAGCTTAGCGAAGAGACGTGATTTATCAGGACAGTGCAAGCGGCGAAAGAGTGATGCGTTATTGCAACACTGCAATGCAATTCTAGGGAGTTAGTGCCTGAGCAGTACTTCCCAGAGCAATTAGAATGAACGGTACATGAAATCTGTCCCTCGTAGGAGGTCATGCATTGTGAAAAAAAAATGATGCATAATAGTTGTAGTGTTATTTATAAGCTCGGAAAGTCTTTGTTTTAATCCTGAGCAACTAATGGGCAAACATCTACAGCGATACAGGTACTGAAGGGAAATAATGACCTAAAATTTTGCAGTAAGCATACTTGAAGAAAGGGTTTACACCAGTTGAAAATTAAAACTTTAAAGGTCTATTGTCAATTTGTTCCAATCAAGTTGAATTTGTTAATAATTTTCAGTCATATATTATATATATATATATATTTAAACAAATTTAAATTCTTAACAATATATATATATATATATTATGTTTCCTTTTTTTTTTTTTTTTTTTTGTTTGTTTTTTTTTTTTTTTGATAAAATTCTTTTGCTTGAATTTTGATTTGAAGGTAAAATTTTGATTTGAATTTTTCACGAAGTGTTTTATTATTTCACTTACGTTTTCAATTCTTTTTAATAGAGTTCTCTTTGTTTAAAGATAGTTACAATCGAAAACATCGCGGACGAAAATGTCGCGGAGAAAATAACTCAAGGCGAAAACGTCCTAGTACAAAACATCGTAGGAGAAAAGAAAGCAAAGGGATAACATCGCAGTTCTAAAACATGCTGATACAAAATATCGTCGTCGAAAATAAAGCTATTCAAAAACTTGGAACTGTTTACAAGGTTACAAACATCGCCGTCGAAAATATCGTGGTAAAGCATCTACAAATAATCGCATGACGACAACATCGCACACATGCGTTTTTTAGGATTTAAAAGTGGTAAATGCACATTCGCATAAAGATTTGGAAGCGCAAGGAATGTTAACGAAACAAAACAAGATATAATTAACAAAAAAAAAAAAAATAAATAAATAAATAAATAAACAAGATATAATAAAACAACAAGATATAATGTTAACAGAAACAAAACAAGATATAATTTCACCAAAACAATATCAAATTAACAAAGAAAATAATTTGATAATTAACTAAGCAATTTTTATAGAGGTAACCTCATGCAGTTATTTATTTTCCTTTTTTTAAACATTTTTAGGCTGTATTTTTCATGGAAAAAATTCTGAGGAAAACTTTATAAAAAAAGATTAATTTATTAATGACCTTTGTAAATTAACTATGTAAATTTAAAATTATATTAAGTCCTGTAAGTTGCATTAATTTTCTACTCATTTTCAATTTTTAAATGCTTAAGTTTCTTTCCTACTTTTTCAGTAAAAATTTATTAGTTCATTCAAAAATATGATCTGTAAAAGTAAAAAATATCCCTCTTTCCTTCTTGCGCTCCCACATCATTATGCGAAAATGCATTACACCTTTTAAAACCTGATATACGCATGTGTGCGATGTTACAGTCAAGCGATGATTTGTAGGTACACTGCTCAAAAAAAGAAAAAAGAAAAAAAAGGGACAGTTCTATATCTCCCGTTCTACTGGGCCGATTGACAAAATTCAAATTGCGTTCTTCATGTCACGAAAGCGCGACTTAAGATATATATTAGATTTGTGACATTAGCACTAATTCTGAACATAGGTATATTTTGACACAAAACGGACTTTTTCTGAAATAACATGTACCAATTTTTTTTTCAGTATTTCGATTCTACGAACTCAAATTACGCCTAAATATGAAATTTTGTAAAATTTGGAGCGACATTTACTGGAGAAATTCACAAATTTATGTTGGCACTTTTTTTATCAATTTGCGCCAAGAATAGTTCACTTGGCGAACTTCTTAATATATGGCAACCTAGTTTCTTTCCCGTAAGAGGGAAAAAAATTCATCATCGTCCCTTTTTTCCAAATAATATTCTTTATATTATATTTTTAATTATAATTTATTATTTTAAGTACTTTTTTTCTATTTCGAATTTTTTTTTTTTTTTTTTTTTCAAATAGTTTTCTTTATATATATATTTGTCATAGTTATTATTTTTAGGTAATTTTTAAATTTTTATACTTTTTTTTAATTGTTTGTGTTGCATTGTCTCTTCAGATAATTGTTTTAAAATTTTCTATTTATTCCTTTGAACTGAGCATTTTAAATATATTTATTAATATAAATTTTCCAGAATTTGATTTTATTTACTTGAATTGTGTTTCTTTCGGAAGAATAATTTGTAACCCAGACTACGATGCGTTTGAAAACTGCATATATTAAAAGAGAAAATACAGTAAAGCACAGTTAACACGCCTTTCAATGTTCCGTTCAGAAAAGATATATATAAATAAGATAGATTTATAACCGATATTTTAACTTAGGATGACTTACATACACTGCTTTAAACAGTTTTATCATTGTGCCCATTGCTTTCACAATTTTATCCTACATTTGGTTTCTTAAAATGTTATTCATATTTTAGTCAAATATTTTATTTTTGAAATCGCAAGAATCAAATATAAGATTAAAAGGTTTTAAATTAAAAAAAAATACTAATACTAAATTTTACGCAAAAAATTATTTTTTCTTCAGGCATTCTACTTTATTCTTGCTCTTTTTCTTTAGGCATTCTGCAAGTATATTAAAAAGCATCCAACTTTTCAAAATATCTTGATATTTCTGACAATCATTTTAAATAAAGTTATTGCCTTCCATTTCATAAAGGCCCACAAGCGGCCGAGCGGTAAAGTCGCTGAACATTGGTAGTTCACTCTGACGTTCCAATCCTGGTAAACGGGCTTTCCCCATGTGTAACGTGTATACGAGTCAGTTTCCCTTAGAAAGTCCTCCACGAAGGCATCCATCCCCTTAGGCAGATAGCCCTAGTGTGCTTTGCCATAATTAAATAAACGAAAACTAAACCTTCTACAGTTATTTTCAGTGCTCACACTGTAAGGATCTTAAGTTTTACTAACGTTTATTTTATTTTAAATCTTTACTATCACTTCTTATTTTCTACTTCCGGCCAGAATTATAAGCGTTAAGGTTTTTATGCAAAGTTTGTCTGGCGAACGCCAAGTATTTAAGTTGTGGCTTTTTGCCAAGCGAGAGAGAGGAAGCAGTGAGTCGAAGCAGGCCGCTTACCTTAGAAGTTACGCAGTTGCTGTTTGCCTTCCAGGCCAGAGGTTTTAATCCTCTTGATAAATTTTAAACGTATTGTAGTGTTCACAGTTCTCTGTACTACATACGCTTCCTGTTAATATAAGGCCAATCTTCCACGTTTATTATTCTAAAGTTAAATTAGAGTTTAGTTTTATTTTTATACTTTTACGTTTAGACCCAAGTAGCGGGTCAGTGTATTCC